CAATGAATGAAGAATGAAACTGTTGCGCTATCTAGTAAAAATGCAGTTAAACCAAACTGCATTTGAGATTTTTTTTACAGCAGAACATCTGGGAGGAAGGCGAGAGGAAGACCAAGAAAGAGATGGATAAATGGTGTAGCCAAAACCTGCAGAAAGATGAACAAATCCATAACAAATACAGAAAACCACAACAGTGGGTTACAAACTGGTAACAGTGAGATGACAATGATGAAAGAAGAAGAAGATGACAATGATGAAATAAGATAAATATAAAACAGAATCGGATATAAATAAAGAAGACAGAATAAAGGGAATACAGATTCAGATAAAAATGAAGCGCATAAAAAAAACATGGAATAAATCCAGTTAAAATTAGGCTGTCAAGAAAAATGTGAATTAGATAAAAATGATAAAAATGAAGTGAAACAAAAAACTGAAACAAATAAAATTCAAAACGGAGCAATTAATATAAATATGAAACTTATCCAGATAAAACAAGCATGCAAGATCCAACTTAAATAGAATCGAATACGGACTGAGCACAACATATTAGTCTCAAAGAATACATACAAGACTTTCAATCATAAGTAAGAAACAAAAAAGAAAAAAAAACCTTTTCACGCATCGGGCATATGGGAAGAGCACCCACATTTTTACAGACCAATCGGCACTAGGTGGGTAATGAGGTCAGCATTACGCGGGTCGTCTTTACCTCCCCAGGACATACATCCTGGTACCCATTTTAAGCTGGGTTGACCTGCGACTCTCCCTACCATCATAAAAATACAATCATAATGAAGACATATAATATAAAACATAAAACAATGTTTCCTAATATTAAAACCAAGAAATCAAAACAGGTTTTCCTGATATTATAAGTACAAATTTACAACAAGAAAAAATCAAAATTACATTCACTATTCATCATCATCCTATTGTGCCAATTACAAATCACATAGGGCTCACAGTCAATTCTTCCATTCTGTTCTACTGAGTGGTGAAAATATAGGGGTGAATGCAGTCAAGCTAATACCAAAGTGAAAATATAGGGGTGAATGCAGTCAAACTAATACCAAGGTGAAAATATGGGGGTGACTGCAGTCAAGCTAATACCGAAGTGAAACTATGGGGGTGAATGCAGTCAATCTAATACAAGGTGAAAATATGGGGGTGACTGTAGTCAAGCTAATACCAAGGTGAAAATATGGGGGTGACTGTAGTCAAGCTAATTACAAGGTGAAAATATGGGGGTGACTGTAGTCAAGCTAATTACAAGGTGAAAATATGGGGGTGACTGCAGTAAAACTTATACCAAGGTGAAAATATGGGGGTGACTGCAGTCAAACTTATACCAAGGTGAAAATATGGGGGTGACTGCAGTAAAACTTATACCAAGGTGAAAATATGGGGGTGACTGTAGTAAAACTTATACCAAGGTGAAAATATGGGGGTGACTGCAGTAAAACTTATACCAAGGTGAAAATATGGGGGTGACTGTAGTAAAACTTATACCAAGGTGAAAATATGGGGGTGACTGCAGTAAAACTTATACCAAGGTGAAAATATGGGGGTGACTGCAGTAAAACTTATACTAAGGTGAAAATATGGGGGTGAATGCAGTCAATCTAATACCAAGGTGAAAATATGGGGGTGACTGTAGTCAATCTAATACCAAAGTGAAAATATGGGGGTGACTGCAGTAAAACTTATACCAAGGTGAAAATATGGGGGTGACTGCAGTAAAACTTATACCAAGGTGAAAATATGGGGGTGACTGCAGTAAAACTTATACCAAGGTGAAAATATGGGGGTGACTGCAGTTAAAAAACTTATACCAAGGTGAAAATATGGGGGTGACTGTAGTAAAACTTATACCAAGGTGAAAATATGGGGGTGACTGCAGTCAAAACTTTATACCAAGGTGAAAATATGGGGGTGACTGCAGTAAAACTTATACCAAGGTGAAAATTATGGGGTGACTGTAGTAAAACTTATACCAAGAAAAAATATGGGGGTGACTGCAGTCAAACTTATACCAAGGTGAAAATATGGGGGTGACTGCAGTCAAACTTATACCAAGGTGAAAATATGGGGGTGACTGCAGTCAAACTTATACCAAGGTGAAAATATGGGGGTGACTGCAGTCAAACTTATACCAAGGTGAAAATATGGCCCTGATGTGCAGTCAAACATATCCAAGGTGAAAATATGGGGGTGACTGCAGTCAAACTTATACCAAGGTGAAAAATATGGGGGTGACTGGCAGTCAAACTTATACCAAGGTTTTAGGGGTGAAACTGCAGTCAAACTATACAAGGTGAAAATATAGGGGTGACTGCAGTCAAACTTATACCAAGGTATTTTATGGGGGTGACTGCAGTCAAACTTATACCAAGGTGAAAATATGGGGGTGACTGCAGTCAAACTTATACCAAAGTGAAAATAATGGGGGTAACTGCAGTAAAACTTATACCAGGTATGAAAATATGGGGGTGATCAGAGTGTCAGCCACCCTTATCTTTTTCTGAAACCATGGGGGTGACTGCAGTCAAACTTATACCAAGGTGAAAAATCTGGGGGTGACTGCAGTCAAACTACTCGTGGTGTATGGGGGTGACTGCAGTCAAACTTATACCAAGGTGAAAATATGGGGGTGACTGCAGTCAAACTTATACCAAGGTGAAAATATAGGGGTGACTGCAGTCAAACTTATACCAAGGTGAAAATATAGGGGTGATTTCTAGACTCTAGTTCTGTTTCACAAACTGAGTGTTGCATGCACATCCATTTCACAGGTCTGACTCATCTGCACACAGATTCTTGGTTCCTTGCCTCTCAGGCAGATGTACTCCGACCTCGAAGGAAACTCCCAATTAGTCGACTCTTACTACATGCTTTTGGGCAGGCAGTGGGTCTATTCTTGTTTTCCCAACAATGGGGCTCCCGGAAACAACATCAGTGAAGTCAACCTCCTAACAGCAGTATTTCCTATGTCAATAATTTTACTGCCTTGCACAGAACGGAGGAAGAATTATATTCAATTGTCTTCTGTAGACTGCTTATAGCGCATTCGTTAAAGTAAAGCAAATCCCACGCCACAATTGCTAAGAAGAGGTTTTCTGCACTCCTTACATATTTATAGTGCTCAGGCTTCCTTAACAGTTAAAATAACTTGGGCAGGGTGGATTAACATACATCATCATTATCATTAAGTGACTTGCCAACTGGCATATAAGATCGTGCCTCTCCAAAACTTATGATATCCAGCAGCATTTATAAGTTCATGTGCTGACAACCCTTCAAGACAAAAGGCTATCGAGAATCTTCTCCTACTCTTTCCTCTATCTCTCCTTCCATTAATCTTTTCAGTTCTCACAACATATTCCAGTTTCTATCTTCTCATAGCATGTACCCCCTCTCCCAAAGGATGACTGTCTCCTTGCTTTATTTGTGATAAGCTAGCTTGCCTTTGGGCCCTCACTTCTTTTAAAACATCTGGGTCAGGACACAAAGTTACAAACTAATAACATTATATCAAAAACAGACACACACAAACTGTGACTAGAGAAAGCAAATGTGGAGAAACTGGCAGACAGCCAGCCAACAACTCACTTGAAAAGAACAAACAGATCCTCTGGATTTGACTTTGAGTTTCCATAAAACAAAAGCAATTGTGTTCTCTACATACACATCTGTAGGGTATCAGTATCTTCTTCTTCTTCGTGTTCACTGACTGTAAACTACGGCAGGAAGTTCTGGCTGTTTGTCCACTTCTGGACTTTGATCTATTTCCAGAATTTGAGTTTTGCATGCACGTCCACTTTACAGATCTGGATTTTTTTATATGCAGATGGCTCTTTGCTTCTCAGGCAGATGCACTTCACCTCCAATGGAAATATCCCTAATTAGCCGTCTTTTACAGAATGATTGTTGGGGGGGGGGGGGGGGCGGCAGTGGATCTAATGTTCTTCCCCAAAACTGGAGCCCTGGAACCCACACATGGGGGTCTCAGTTTAACTTTGTAATTATTTGTTTCAGACCGATGTGTCTAATAGTAGAGTTGAGTAACAGAGTTGAAGCCACCTATCTAAATGTCCTCACGTCTGCTGCCATGTTCTTGCCACAGTTACCTGCCCCCCAACAACCAGATTGTCAATATCAGTTTTTCCCATTTGTTGGTCGGCTGACCCCTGGGGGTCAAGGGAACAAGCTGAAGGTGTCCGTGATATCATTGATAGTGTGGCTAGAAGGTTAGTGAATGTGCTTAACCATGATCTTCAAGCACCAGGGTTTGTTCCCTGCGGTGGAAGGTGTTGTTAAAAAATTTGCGTTTGTCGTTTTCGGACACTTGTGCGACAGTCGTGTCGTGGAAGAGACTAGGCGTTCACCACATAATCCTCACAAAAACAAGGATGGTACACTGTAGCCGACTCTTATTGTGGGGATGGCATGGAATTAAATTAGATATCATTAATAATTATTTTTTTTAAATCAACTTCAGAATGCAATCCTTTATCCAATTCTAATATTTAACAATTTTTAATTCCCCAGTAAGTTTAAAAAAAAAAAAAACAGGGAAGGCCCCTTTTCCACACCTTTAGGTGTATTGGGCATATAGGGCTAGGCATATTTTATAGACCAATGGGCATTTATTGGGTGATGTGGTCAACATCATGCCGACATCCTTTACTTCCCATGACTTGGACTTGGTACCCACTCAGGGCTGGGTCAACCTGGGAGCCAAAGTCATTTCTGAAAACAGTCCGGTTCCATCAGGACCTGAACCCAGGACTTTCTGATCGGCAGGCAAGTGTCTAGCCGCTACAAAGCCGGGACTCCCAAGTTCCCCAGTAAGACTATTAGAAAAGACCAGCATTAACAAGGGTCTGCAGGACTTAGTTCATTAATATCCACAGGTTTGTGTGAATATCTCACTGGCTTAAGTTGGACGCAAGCATAACCACACAGCACACAATTGAACATGGGACTGTCTGCACACATCAATTTAATGCATTTCCATCTCTGAGATACCGATGCCCGGAACCACCAGGAAGTAACGGCTCATCTTCTCTGTATAAATCATCTGTGTTGTGGATAGTGCTCTGTTCTGATTCCTCTTTTTGTTTGGCCAACTGTTGTTTCTTCCATCTGCTGATGTTTAAGATGCCATTCTGTTTTCAAACAAAAAGAAAAGATTTAAAAACGACTAAATATTCACATACGGTGAATTATCTCTCTTCTCCCGCTCATCCTCCAATAGAGCATAGGCCTTCAAGTGACTCACCCCAGGTCCTTTTATCCTACGCTATTGCATGCAGCTCGCCCATGCCCTTCCCATCTTTTTGATGTCACTCTCTAGCTCCCTTCTCCATCTGTTTTTTATCCTGCCTTTGTTTCTATGCCTCTGTGTGTTCCAGTGCAAACACATTCTAGTTATACTGTTCTCAGATTTTTTCAATGTGTGTCCTATCCAACACCAGCGTCTGTTCCTCACCTCTTAGGGTCCACTGGAACTTGTTTAGTTCTCTCCCAAAACTCAACAATAGTGATTCTATCCTACAGTGAATTATATAAAACTGTATGAGAATTCTTCTTAGCATTCAGCAGCTGGAAACTGAGATGGAAAGTTCTTGCTGTTTGTCTCCTTCTAGACTTTCGTCTCGTTCCAGAACTTGTTTTGTGTGCACATCCATTTTACAGATCTGGCTCATTTGTATGCAGACTACTGGTTCCTAACCTCTCAGACAGATACACTCTGACTTCACAGGAAACATCCCTAGTTAGTCATCGTTTACGACATGCTTGTTGGGGAGCATGGGGTCTGTTCTTGTTTCTTTCAAAAGGGGAGAAGAAAACAGTGACTGGGTTTAATCTTGCATGGATTGGCTTTTCTTTACATAGCAATTATCCATCAATAGTATCCCACAAAGCATAAACTCTGAAGCTCCAGCAATGACCCACCAGGTGTGTATGAAACCCTTGCATATGTGAACAAAACAACAGAATTTATAGGGTGTTCAGTAAGTCCCTTCGTAATTACTGAATAGTTGTAATTACACAACTCTCATGGCACTATGAAAATCAGTCTTAATAGTGCACTTGACAGTGCTCATCAACGAATGTTAATCTCTCCCCGACACTTTGATGAGGTACAAGGTGGAAGAGAAAAAAAGAAGAGAAAGAAGAAGACACAACTCTCATGACAGTCTCCTGATACGGCAGACACTTATTTAGAAACTGTGAATCTGGAGTATCTTATGGAACACGCCAAACAAACAACAGCCAAAGAAGGAGACAAATGACTAATAAATGTGAGCTTCAGATTTCACCACCTTACACCTAAAGCTACGAAAAAGGGTGTGTGTTTTTGTCTTTCTCTCATCCGCCACTCAAATCAAACCCCAATAAGCAAGAATTGTGAAACAGTTCACCACATTCATGAACCTCTAAGCTACAGACAAATATTAAAACAACCACTTCTCACTAATTGAGAGTTTTTCAAACTGTGTGTTGCGTGACACGTTAGTGTCTCAGCTGCAGTGTGAAGGTGTGTTGCACGAAGGTAATTAATGCATGCGTCCATAGAGCTGAGTTCCGGGCTGTGCAACTGGGTTTACTCAGGGGCCAACATTTTGAAAATGGAGATCGTCATCGGCCAGTAATACAACTAGTCAATAATACATGGGTGCCAGCTGAATTCTCCGGATAAGTTTAACTTCTGGTTTGCTAGTAAACTGAGTAGCTGTGTCACAAAATTAAGCTTATCTACAAAGTGTGTCACCATCATGAACAGTTTTGAAAGCTTTGTGCAAACCACTGGAAGAATCAGCCACTTTGGTACTCATAATCATTGATCATTACTACTTTGGATAAAAGTGGTTTTCATCCCCCATGATGGATGAACAACAACAACAATCACTGCTGAACCAGCCACCAAAAAACTGATATGTTCAGGGTGAGTCAGAAATATGGCAAGATACATAAATGTGTAGTTAATCATGTAGCCATAATTCTGACTCACCCCGAATGCACAAATGGCACTGGATTGCCGACAGGCAGACGACGATAACTTTGGGATAACAACAATGAATGACCTATCCAGAATGGACTTACCCTCCTGCGGTCAACCACGTTCAGAAAGAAGGCAGAGGCAATGCAGCAGACAGTGTTGCCCAATAGATATATCATGACATACTTCCATCTGTTTAAAACCTCACCTCTGTAACATACAATTTTCATAAAATATGTTAGCATGTTGTGCCTCAACCACAGACACGTTGTGCTGTTGTAGAGTTTCTTTGATGTTATCTGTCCATGTTGTTCTTGGTCTACCTAATCATCTTCATCCATCTCACAATGCTCTCATGTAGAATACAGAACATAATTAGAGACTAAAGAGGAGGCACTCTGGGCTAGCCTTAGCAATTCTCTCATATAAAAAAAAAGTAAAAGGTAAAGTCGGGATATGTGAACCAGCGTCATTGCACATGGTTATAAACCACTGTGTATATATCATAAAGAAAACAATGAGAGCCTAGAAGAGAGTCACATTTAGCTAGCCTTACGCATTTCTCTCATATATCACTAAATGTCCACAAATTTTGAGACTGAACCCCCACGCATTCTAAGCTAGCCACTAGCCATTGCTAAAATCACATCCTTAGCAATTCTCATATATCTTACAGAACAATTAGAGACTAAAGGGGAAACACTCTAATCTAGCCCTAACAATTCTCTAACTTACAGGGAACAGAATTATAGAATAAGGAAAGGCACCCTAAGCTAGCTATAGCAATTCTCTCATATATCACATAGAAAACAAAGACTAAATGAGAAGCACTCTAAGCTAGCCATAGCAATTCTCTCATTTAGTCTGTGACAACACTCGATTAAAGACTAAATGCAGAAGCACCTATAAGCTACCTTCAGAAAGACTTTGCTCTCATATATCTGAGCTATGGATAGAACATGCCTGTTTACCACCACACACACCTCTCAACAGATGCTCTGTGAGTCAGTTTCAATTTGAATGGCTGTTCAGCTGCTTCTTAAGCCAGTTGTAAGCAGTAGTGGTCTGGTCTCCACCTCCATTCTCAGCTAGACACTGTGAAGATCATAATCCAGGGCTACCTGTTGGCTAATGCGATGTCCATTTTACTTTTGCTATGGGCAAGGCCACCAGTTAACATCTGCCCCGATCAACACAGAGCCATCTGTATGGATAATCACATCACCGTTTCAGAAATTGTCATGAATCATTTCGAGTTGACCTTCTGATTCTGCAGCACCCGCTTCTGTCAGTCCCTGGACCTCACGATCTAAAGTGAAGGCAGAACCCTACACAAGTCAAAACTATTGTTCAGACAGCCCCGACCAGCACAACCTCTTCACACCCCCACTTATCAAAACACATAAATATCTAGTTGCGTCTTCAGCTTGCGCCATCCAAAATGTCGTCTTTTCAGTCTATGACCCTTAGCTCAACCTAGGGCTTCATGCAGGAGGTGCTACTTGTCTGCAGCTACCTAGAAATATGACTTTGCTTGCAGAACTCTGAGCCTATCTGTAATAGACAGTGCAAGCATATATATTTATATATAAAAAACTCTCAGGAAAGTGCTCATCAGCAACCAGGTCGCCATTCCCTTTTCCTCTAAAATGGGCCCTGGTATCCATGGAGACACACTGTCACTACTGCCTGTTGTTACCACTTCTGCTGTGCAGGGGGTTCTTTGAGCCTCATGATTTAGCGCCCCACAGCTAGTGGAGGTTTGGATTTAAATGTTTTGCCCCTGACAAAAAAATCCCCAACCTTACCGAGGATTCAAACCCGGGTCTTCCGCATGAGAGCACTACTTTTATAACCATTCAGCCAGCTGCTTCTCCTACACACTCCACCTAAAATAATGCCTCACATTTGCATAAAATCATTCTGTTTTTCTTCACGGGGCACTTACACAGATTCTTCTGCAGACTCCTTGCCCAGGATCTGTCCCACAATGAGGTTGGAGACTCCGATGCCTATCATCTGTATGCTGGTTGTCAGACCCATGGCTGTGCCCAGCGTGGCCTGGGACACTACCAGAGGGGATACTTGGCCACATGCTTGCCTGTAAGAAAACAGTTCAAAACTTGGTATTACTTACTGCCTTCTGTGCTGCATTCTTTCTTTCGTTCTTTCTTTCTTGTGTGTTTCTAGTTTTCTTTTTCTTGCTTTCTTTCTTTTTCTTTCTTTCTTTCTTGCTTGCTTTCTTTCTTTCTTTCTTTTTTTTTTCATTCTTTCTTGCTTTTAAAAAAAAAAAAATTTTCATTTCTTTTGTATTGCTTTCTTTCATGATCTTTTTATTATTTGATGACCTTTTAATTCCTTCTTCTTTTTTTCTTGGCCTCCTTTCTGTCTTGCTTTCTATGTTGCATTTTTCACATTCTGTGTAAAGTAAAGGATCTTTTTCTATGCCTTCATGCGTATTGAGCTTAAAGGGCTAGACCTATATTTTACAGACCAATCAGCAATCAGCAGGCAGACCAATCAGCAATCAGTAGGTCATGTGGTCAACATCACGCGTGCCGCCTTAACTTCCCAGGACTTTTCCTGATACCCATTTAAGGGTTGGTCAGCCTGGGAACCAAAGTAATTTTTATTTAAAAGACTGACTCCATTTGGATTTCAACCCAAGATCTTCAGATCTGCAGACGAGCATCTAATCGCTACACCACGGTGGCTCCTTATTCTGCACAGAGAGGCACACTAATTTGGTGAACTCTACCACCAAAAATATAATTACACATCCTTTACTATCTCTTCCTATTTCTCTACTACTGCTATAAATGACTTGTACAGCATGTCCAAAAAATAAAAATGGGTGTCATACACTCCGAATGGCTTGCGTCATTAGATAAGGCTCAGATAAGAAGCATATCTGGGATTTTCCACCCAGGAGAGCTGGGTGTATGGGGTAATGAACAGACTGATAGATTGGCTCCTGCTGTCCCACAGGTTGTGAGCTGCTTTATGGTGAAGCTGACAAAGCTGGTGAGGACTCTCTGGGATCAAGTAAACAGTTCAGCAAAAAGGAGACACAAAGTCCATATCAAGAGAGAATGATTCAAATGAGAGTAAGTAAAGTGTCTAGATGATTTTCTACCCATACGGGAAAAAAGAGCTGAACTTTAAATGAGGTTAAGACTAGTATCATCAATATGGGAACTCCCCTGTGTGGGTTCCAGGGCCCTGTTATAAGGAAAACAAGAATAGACCCACTACCAACCCAAAAGCATGTCATAAGAATCGACTAACTGGGAGCTTACTTCAAAGTCGGAGTGCATCTGCCTGAGAGGCAAGGAACCAGCAGTCTGCATACAAATTAGTCAGATCTGTAAAACCAATGCACACGCAACACAGGCTCTGGAACAGGACTGCAGTCAAGAAGTGGATGAACAACCAGAACTTTCCACCAGAGTTTACAGCTGGTGAACGTGAAGAAGAAGTAAAAAATATGGGAACAACTGGCTACTGAAGAAGGGGATGGAGCATGTATGCGAATGTACTGAATGCAGCAATGTCAATTCTTGACTCATTCATTTAATCATTGCTACTTCTTTCTCCTCTTCTTCAGTACTGTAGGCATACTATTGCTGCAAACATAACACATTCAAAAAACATCATGCTTACCGCTGCAAAGGAATATGTGACTCCAAGCCAAAGAGTAGAAACCAGTGGATAGACATCAGTAAAAGCCAAAAGACAAAATACTGGAATTGTTAGAACAGCAGTTGCCATGGCCAGATATCCTCGCATACCAAACACATCCTAGGACCCAAAATAATATTTTTTTAGAAACCAGAATATAAATGTGACATCTGCAAAATAAAATAATAACTGTCTTCATTACCTTCCAGTTTTTGGATTCTCTACTTCTGATGTTTGGGGTAACATGTTAAAGTTAGTTGCGTATCCTTTACAGGATCTTGCAGAACCAACCCCAGTATTTTTTTGCTGTTGTGGTTTTTTTAGGCAAAATTTACATCCAGTAGTTTGCCATTGCTTCCTGGATGGTCGGCTTCTCGATATCACTGTCAAAACCAATGCAAGGCCCGCAGCTGGGATCGAACCCAGCATCTCGGCATTACGAAGCATGTTCTCAACGCCTAAGCCACAGACGCCGATAATATGGGTACAGAGAAATAGCATAATTATGGTGTACTCCTAAGATTTGAAAGGTCGAAAGGGTGGGGGGGGGGGGGGGCTGCATACACACACACCTAAGATTTGAAAGAGGGAAGAGGGTTGCAAACTCCTAAGATTTGAAAGAGGGAAGAGGGTTGCAAAAACTCCTAAGATTTGAAAGAGGGAAGAGGGTTGCAAACTCCTAAGATTTGAAAGAGGGAAGAGGGTTGCAAACTCCTAAGATTTGAAAGAGGGAAGAGGGTTGCAAACTCCTAAGATTTGAAAGAGGGAAGAGGGTTGCAAACTCCTAAGATTTGAAAGGGGGAAGGGAGTGGTGAGTACCCCTAAGATTTGAAAGATGAGGGGGGAGGGCTGTGTACTTCTAAGATTTGAAAGAGGAGGGGGGAGGGCTGTGTACTTCTAAGATTTGAAAGAGGAGGGGGAGGGCTGTGTACTTTTAGGATTTGAAAGAGGAGGGGGGAGGGCTGTGTACTTTTAAGATTTGAAAGAGGAGGGGGGAGGGCTGTGTACTTCTAAGATTTGAAAGAGGAGGGGGGAGGGCTGTGTACTTCTAAGATTTGAAAGAGGGAGGGGGGAGGGCTGTGTACTTCTAAGATTTGAAAGAGGAGGGGGGAGGGCTGTGTACCTCTAAGATTTGAATATGGCCGCGTACTCCTATGATCTGAGAAGGGATGGGGGGGGGGGGGGGGGGTGGGGGTGGCTGCGTTCTCATAAGATTTGAAAGGGGGGAGGGCGGGTAACACCGCATGGTAACTACGCCCCCTGTTTCAGGCGCACCTGTCAGTAACAAATTTGTAAACATTATCATATTAGTATCACACAGCCATAACAAGTAATAACAGCACAAATTCTTACAAACAAAACCACACACACATACACACAAAACACCAGTAACAAGCAAACAGGGAATGTCATATTTCACTCACAATAATGCCGCCAAGAAAAGGCGACAGGACCATAGAGACGTCATATGTTGCACCAGCCAGATAGGAAGATGTCTTGCCGAGGTGGTATTTTGTATTGATGAATTTACTGTGGAGAGACAACTGTGAATTATCATAACTGACATTTTGATCAAATAAATGGTACTTTATTTTTAAATCACCTCAAACAAAGGAAACCCCCCAGAGTTTCCTGGAAAGTCCAATATTCTAGGGGTGTTATGGGTTGGGTTTATGGTTAGAAGTTAGAGTTAGAGTTACTGTTATGGGTAGAGTTAGTCAGTATCTCTGAGGTGGTCAGGGCTGGCCAAGACCCTAACCCTAAACACCTCTAGAATGTTGGACTTTCCTGGAAACTCTGGGATTTCCTTTGTTTGGGGCGAATTTAAAATTAAATGCCCAAAAAATTTTTTTTTAAATAAGAAACAATCAATTACTTCTGTACCATGTCAACACGTTCTTTAAAAATGAGAGCCTCTGAGCAAAAAGTAAATCAGAGTATTGGAATTATAACAGCGTAACAACAAAGACAAAAATCAAAAACATTAGATTTTTCTGGCATGATATACTTTTATCAGCCGGAGATACCATGTGTGTCACACTGATACCAGATTCCAGCTCCCATTACTTTCCACATAAACATACAGTTTTTCAAAAATCTCAAATTTGAATTTCTTGAAACAAGGATTTAGCAATTACATGTCTTCAGTATAATGGCAACTATATAATATGGAGCAGCAGATGGCCAAATGGTTAAAAACATAGGGTTCTCATTCAGGAGACCTGAGTTCAAATCCTCAGTAAATTTTAGGATTTTTCCTGTCGAGTGTAAAAATAAAAATCCTAACTGCACATTCTGTAGCCACAGCACTAGACATCTTCTTTCTTTTCTTCACGTTCACCAGCAGTAAACTCTGGCGGAAAGTTCTGGTTGTTCATCCACTTCTGGACTGTAGTCTTGTTCATGAACCTGAGTGTTGCATGCGCATCCATTTTACAGATCTGACTTATTTGTATGCAGATTGTTAGTTCCTCGCCCCTCAGGTAGATGTGCTTCAACTTCGAAGAAAGCTCACAAGTAGTTGACTTCTGTGACATGCTTTTGGGGAGGCAGTGGGTCTATTCTTGTTTTTCCCATAATAGGGCCCCGGAACCCACACAGAAAAAGCACTAGACCTGTGGCCCTTAACCCTCAGGCTCAAACAATTCCCCCTCCCCTCCCCCAAAAGTGGTAAATACTAGCAGTAAGGGTAGCTTTTTTTAAAACAAATATACATGTATAATAAAGTCAACATAACAATTAAACAGATCAAAATCACAATGCCAATCGTTCAATCCACAAGTGCCCACGATTCCATTAAAAATATCCGGCTATCGCTAAATATATCTTTTATCACAGCGACCCAAAAAAATTCAAATAAGAAATGTTCAGTTATTCACGCTATCGAAGCCTGCAGCCTTTTTACAGTGCAACCATACTGAAAGTTACCTGGCGTCTGCCACAAACGGAAAAACCCCATTGTAGAAAAACATGATGGTCAACACAATCAGCCAGAATGACAGAGGCAAGTGACGGACATCAGTGACTTTCTGCAACATGGCCAAACAAAATAAATAACACAGAGAAACTGCACAAAAAGAAGTTAAAAGTTGTTATTTTAATAAATACTTCCAAAAAGCTGAGATTAAATTAATGGCAGACTACAAATAAATGATGGAAGCTGCCACAGTCTAGCAGCTAGACACTCAGCTGTGGATCCAAAGGTTGTGGGTTCGGATCCTGACAGAGCCATACTTTTTTTTTAAATGACCTTGGCTCTCAGATCGACCCAGCCTTAAATGGGTACCAGGTCAAGTCCTGGGAAGTAAAGGTGGCCGGCGTGATGCTTAATATATCACCCACCACGTGTAGATTAGTTTATACAATAAAGCTCTAGCCATATATGCCCAATAAGAAAAAGGGTCCATTACTTTTTAACAATTAAATTGTAACCATTTTGATGTTTGTTTAACTCTTTGAGTCCCAAGGAACGCATCAAACGTTCACATGTTCCTACCTAGAAGCCCAATGAACGCACAATGCGCCGATTTTATGACTCTCTTTACTACTCCCTTGGCTTGTGATGCTAAACCCCTGGGACTCAAAGAGTTAAAGACGTTCATTTTGGGACAAAGCACAAAAAGAAATGTGAAATAAGTGACATTTTACCAGCTTCTTGGAGTCACTTCTGATGCTGCCTTCATCTCCAAGCTGCCTCACCCCATGTTTATCCAATATGCTGACAATGATAGCAGAAATAAACCCCAGACCACACAACACTGCTCCTGAAAAACAAGATTACTTAAAGTGAGACACTGATGGGCACTTACAGAAGAGGTGAGATCAATAAAAAAAAAAAATAAAGTCAAGAGATATGAACCAGCATCATTGCACACGGTTATAAACCATAAGTGCTCTGCCACCAGTACGGACAGCTGTATGCCTGTGTCGCCGTTCGCGTGTAACTCTGTAGCTACAGCGACGTTCCTCCATTTACCCCAGAGTGTTAACTCTGGTACCCATTTCCTAGAGGCTGGGTGAACCCCGGGAACCACCTGGTTTCGAACACCAACCGTGGGCGAGTCTCAGCTGGATTTGAAAGCGAGCCTCTTATCGACTGCGCTATAGCAGCCCTGTTGTGAGATCAATAAATATACAAACAACTTTGTTCCTAGCTTTCCTTATTCTTTACTTTTTCTATACCAATTGTCAATCCATGAGTGATGTGATCAATATTACGCCAACTGCTTTACTTTCTTTAACATGGCCTGCTACCAATTTTAGACTGTTGACCTGGCAGCCTAGGCATAATTTTTTTCTATTTCTGCATTCGACATCGGTAATGCTAAACATTCAGTCTTGTCTGAGTCACAAACAGTGAGGGGCATCTAAGGTCGCCGCCAGTTCTCCCCAGAGCTTCTCCTGTAATCTGGTTCTACTGAGCCAGATCTACAACCTTCGCCAGGAGTAGTCTGGACAATCCTGTAGTACAGGCTCAGGAGTCTGTCTGCTCTACAATCAAAGGCAGCAGATTCTTGTATGCCTATCCTGTGTAGATGTGCTCTAACACCACAGTGTCCTGTCCAAAGCCTAAAAATTGTTGTTCATTCTGCTCTGCTAAGCACAATACTTTTTTTTTTTATCCTTGCCTACCAGGTCAGTAAGCAAGTGTGCTATTTAAAGTTTGAATAACTGATCAACATCATAACACACAGGTAGTAACCCATAAGTGCTCCGTTCTTTCTTCTAATTCAAGTCTGAGTCTAAAAAAGCTCAGCACAGTGCACAGGCTCTTTAGCACCGGTGAGGATCCTAAAATATTTTGTGTAGATTTTTAACTCCAGCGTCGGATCTCACTAACTAGAGACCAGGGGGAATTACTAGAAGTCCCAAGTCTTTGTGAAAAAAACACAGCCCTTACCAGGGATTGAACCCGGAACCTTTAGCACTCAAGGCGGACACCATGCCTCGAGACCACGCAGTCCCATAAATATATAATACTGTACTATTAAATTTCAATAACTCATAAAAACAGCTGACCTCCCCACAGGGTCCAGACCAGCCCATACTCCTGCTCAAATGACTGTGTAAGAAAGAAATTTAAAACACTTCCCAGACGAGAGAAAGCCAACGTGATCCCAAACGCCATAGCAAGCTCTTTGTCTCTGAACCAGTATGCCGTTATTCTGTTCTGTACAACTGGAATTTAAAGATAAAAAGGAATCTGTATAAACAAGGCAAAACTTCCACGGCAGAAAATGTTCTAAATGTTAACATTGACAGTCCCAAGAAGAGATCATGGCATATGCCTTAGGGTAACAACAATTATTACTCTTCTTCTTCTTCTTCTTCTCCTTATCATCTGGTTCTGTTCTGCCTTTCAGTGTCAGGTTTTGAAGAGGCATCGGCTGCGAGTCTTGATTTGTGCTGCACAGATGCTCTGATATTCCATCTATCCATCGCTGAGTAGTCAACCGCTAACTCTGCTTCCATTATCTCGAAATGACAGGGCTTTCTACAGCGAACCATCTGGTGGTAGTCTTGACACATGTCTGAACCATTTGATCTGTTGTCTTTTGATGTAGTTTAGCACTGAACCTGTCCCAACTTCTTTGCTGACATTATCGTTTCTGATCCTGTCTCTTCTACATTTAGGATTCATCTTTGACATTTCATTTCTGTTGTTTTGATTCTTCTGTTCTCTTTTGCTGTTAATGTCCACATGTGCCACTGGTAACACAATGCTGGTTTAAAAATACAGTACTAAACCTTACTCTTTTGGTGGCAATTGTTACTTGTTTGTTCTGAAAAATTGGTGAGATCTGTCCAATGATTTTACTTGCTTGTATTACTCTTCTTCTGCCCAATGGAGCATAGATCCTCAGCCTGTCCAGTTCATGTTGTCCTAAACTTTGATATCAGTTCAGCTCAACTAATTCTAACCCCCCCCCCCCCCCCCCCCCCCAACTTTCAATGTTTTTTTTTTTCTTTCATTTTTCTCCTGGTGTTTCAGAACAAGCTCTATAATTCTGCCCCTGTGATTTCCAGTGAAGAGACATTCTAATGATACTGTAATCAGGTTTACTCAATGTGTATCCTAGCTAAAACTATAGTTATAATCATTAGAAATATAAATAAAGTGTGAGTGCTCTTCTGTCACAGAAACAGCAAAATATGTACCACCTTATGTGTTTAACTATTTAGCCATGCTCTAAAGTATTTGTTAACCCATTTTGTGCCTTTAGTGAAGTGGACATGAGGTGCTAAACCCTTATGTTTATAAAGTAATCTGCACTCAATAAAATACCAGAGTGGGCTCAAGCCAAATATCAGATCACAATGAGCACTGTTTGGCACACATGGACAATAAACGATCACACACCGTACATTGCTGAGGAATGAAAGAGTTAGTACAAGATACCACTTCATATTTACATAGACGCAACAATCATCTCAGAGTAGCTCATGAGTTCTCATTCAGGAGACCTGGATTTGAACCCTTGGTAGTTCTGATAGTCCGTCCACTTCTGGACTTCACTCTTGTCCCAAAACTTCAGTTTTGCATGCACATCCTTTTACAGAACAAGCTTACTTGTATGCAGACTGTTGGTTCCTCACCACTCAGGCAGATGAACTCTGACTTGGGAGGAACAATCCCTAATGAATAGCCTTTTATGACATGCTTGTTAGGGAGACAGAAAGTGGGTGTTTTTTAAAACCCAAAATAGGGTCCCGGAACCCAACGGGGGCTTAATAATTCTAAGCTGTAATGTATGTAGACCTCTTGTTAGTTTTTCATCAAAAGATCAAATGCAACTTACTAGTCAGTGAACCATTTCCTGCACCAAACAGCAATCGTCCCAGCAGCATGACAGGCAGAAGGGCAGATGTGCCCTTGAGGAACACTCCAGCAGCAAAAGTGGAAGAACCCAAGAGGCATAATGATGAAAATAAGAACACTCCAACTGTGAAAGAATCATTAACATGAGTAAGTTGGATGACCAGTCAGTAAGTTTAATTTTTCTTGGATGAAATGTGGAAAAACGAACACAAAATATGATGGCAATAAATATTATTGATTTAAATTCAAGTTTTTGGCTTGTGTGGCGGGTGTTGCAAAACGTACTTCATATTTCTGTGGTGCCGGGTTCAATTCCCAACTGCTGACAATCTAGCAGCAGACCACCTTGTATAAGTTTCAACAGAGAGCCAACCTTTTAAGGCACTGACAAACTAGTGTAAGTAAAATTGCCAGTTGTAATCACAAACTGCAAACAAACACTTCGTTTGGTAATGCAATATCCCATAAACTGTTGTTGTCTTTTAAAGCTGAAACTATCTGTAAAATTGAAATGCTGTTATTAAATATACATAATAGTAAGTAAGTAAGTAAACTGTACCCCACCAGGATATCACACAAGCGATAACCACCTGCTGACACAAAGTCCCACCATGCGGATGAAGATCACCAGTGGAGAGGTCCCGGAAATGCTTTACATGCTTGCTGGGGAGGCAATGAATTCCAGTGAAATGTGACTAAAAAGCTTAACGAAACAGGGAAGCAGAAAAACATACACAAAACATTTCAGCCGATGGCCTTTCTTGAATAAGTAAAAAAAAAAGAAAAATAAGAAAGGCCACTGGCCAAAACGTTGTTTTGTGCACATTTTTCTGCTTCCCACTTTTGTTAAACTTTTTAGTCACTTTTAATGGAATTCCTTGGTATTAGCTTGACTGCCGTCACCCCCATATTTTTACTACTTGTTGGGGAGGCAGTTGGTCTATTCTTGTTTTACACACAATGGTGCCCCAAAACCCACATATGGACAACAGCCATCTAAACCATTTTAATTCCCACAGCTTTGTTCTTACTCTTATGAGTCTACTGAATCAAGTGCCAAGGGTAGGGATGTAGAAGTGCTGAACCACACAGTGTGGTGCTCCAGTACTGAATCAAGTGCCAAGGGTAGGGATATAGATGTGCTGAACCACACAGTGTAGTGCTCCAGTACTGAATCAAGTGCCAAGGGTAGGGATATAGATGTGCTGAACCACACAGTGTGGTGCTCCAGTACTGAATCAAGTGCCAAGGGTAGGAATATAGAGGTGCTGAGCCACATAGCGTGGTGCTCCAGTACTGAATCAAGCGCCAAGGGTATGGATGTAGAGGTGCTGAACCACACAGTTTGGTGCTCCAGTACTGAATCAAGTGCTAAGGGTAGGGATGTAGAGGTGCTGAACAACACGGTGTGGTGCTCCAGTACTGAATCAAGTGCTAAGGGTAGGGATGTAGAGGTGCTGAACAACACGGTGTGGTGCTCCAGTACTGAATCAAGTGCTAAGGGTAGGGATGTAGAGGTGCTGAACAACACGGTGTGGTGCTCCAGGATCAGAGCCCACACTGGTCAAGACCTGCCTACACTTCACCACAGTCACTATAGAAACAGACACCAAGCTGTGAACCTGGCCAAAAATTGACAGGATTAATGTTTCCTTCAAAGTCATAGCCCATCTGCCTAAGAGGTAAGGAACCAACAGTCTGCATGTAAAGAAGCCAGATCTGTAAAACTGATGTGCATACATTTATCTAGTTCTGGAACCTGACCAAAGTCCAGAAGTGGACAAACAATCAGGATTTTCTGCTAGAGTTTACAGTTTGTGAACACAATGGAGAAAAAGAATAGGGGAAAGAAGAAAAGGTCGTACTTTTAAACATCAAGGAAAAGTTATAAACATCAGCGTCCAACAGTTACAAACTAATTCTTACGGTCCCTGGAACTTTCCAGAGAACCTGGAGTACAACAACTATGTGAATAACAACAACAAAACTTAAAATTAGTAATATTCAGTTTACCTCTGTTTCCCAACTTGTCAATGAGAAAACCAGCAGCTATGACAACAACTGCATTCCTGAAAGTGATATCAGAAAATATAAAAGTTAAACCACAGTTTCTAAATGAAATGTAACATGTATAAATTTGTTTCATTTCTACATTTTTCTTGTCTATTTCTAAAACTTACACCTGATAATATTCACAAAAGTTTTCTTTTTATATATATTTCCGTTCAACTTTTGAAAGAATATTCAGTTTTTTTTTTGTGTACAGCAAATTAAGAAGTAGGTTGCTGAACAGTTTAAATGCCATTTTTAATTTGGTTCGGACATATGGTTCCGAATCCATAGTAAAGGCTGCTTTGAGATTTTGGCTAAGTAATTTTGTGTATCTGTGTAGTATTGTTTCATTTGTATGTGCTGATGAAGGCTTAATAGCCGCAAAGTTCACGTTTTGTTTGTATTTGTTATATTGTGAAGCTTGCTAATATACTTTTTGTTCGGTTTTATATCTTTTCTTGATAGTAAAGAAAAAAACAAATACATTTTATATATATATATAGTCTTGAAATGATGGCATCTACATTTTTTACTAACTTTAAAAAATATATATATACATACAAATATATACACACACAATTATATATATATATATATATATATATATATATATAGCCTTGACCTGATAAGTGAAATGTTTAAAGCAAAATGCAGAAAAATTATGTACTTACGTCCAAGCATAGACAGCGTATAGTAAGTTATATTCTGCGTCTGACATGCCTAATCCATCACATGTACTGTTGAACTGCTGTGTCTTATTGCCAGTTGTACAGTTTGTCTAAAATCATCAAAATGTTTACATGACCTCCTTACAAAATATAGTTTCCTTATTACTGCATTAGGACCAAAATATTATAATAGCATAAATGAGTTCAAATATTCAATTTAAAAAATTTAACCTAGGTAACAAATTAATAGAAATGGAACAAAAGTTAAATGTGTTTAGAAATAAACACCTGAGGAAAATATTGAAAATAAAATGGGATGAATTGGAGAGAGGTGAAGAAATCAGAGAAGTGTCTGGCTAATTATTGGTAGCAACAGTTATAAAACAGAGAAGATGGGGGCTGTATTGGACACATTAAGAGAAGAAACAAATAGAATCACCAAACAGGAACTAAAATGGGAAATAAAGAGACTGAGGAAGTGAGGGCACCCAAAAGAAACCCTAAAATGAATGCTGAAGAAAGAGGCCAAAGGTGCTGTACTGGACTCCATCCATGAAAGTGAACTGATTGTACAGGGTAGAAAGGAATAGTCTGCGAGAAATATGTGACATATTATTGCACAACAGGGCAATGATAATGATCATTACATTAACACATCAATTATAAAATAATGCTCAGTCTCTCTGCCACTGTAGAAAATACAAGATGTGATTCATAAAGATAACATTGATACAACAGATTAAACACATTTATGAGATAATTAAAAACAAAACAAAACACAAGCTGCACAAGTTAAACCCTTAAATTTCTTAGGTAGTTACAAGCTAAATCTGTAACTTATTTCATAGTGTCTATTGTGCTTTTCTGATGGGTACAAATGTTTTATGCAATCAAATGATGTGCTTTAATTACACTGCTATACTGATATTTGCTCATTTAGGTGCATCGACACACAGAAAATATAGGACGGGAGCACTGCGGAGGTTGAAAGTTGGGTGGCCATCTTTGAGATGTCATTATGACATTGCGGTGTTCGTCTCTAGTGTGAAGTCACATGCTTAACACCCTTGACATCCTTACCAACAATTCGACAAGTTACAAGACACTGGTATGGTTGTTGTAATTTCTTTCAAAGTTTTAAAGTTTTCATTTGAAGCATTTGCTGACACTCTTCCAAGGCAGGGGAACAAAATACCATGGACCGTGTTGTGTGGGGAGGGCATATCTGGAGAGGAATGAGAGTCAAGGAAGAAATGATTGCAGAAAATATGATAGCTGAGAATCTGAGAAGAAACAGACTAAACACAAATGTTAGACAATAATGGTCCTAAAATCTCATGCTATAATTGAGGAAGACTTTTCTTGACACGGGCGGATCTTGCCAGTCACACTGGCCATCGCCATGGACTGTGAGTTCCATGCCTCCTCATAGTGCAATATAACACTATCGTCTGGAAAGACGGAAATGTGCCAATCAATCAATCAAGGCTTGATAAAAAGTTGTCAAGAAATTTCTCTGTCATCCTCAATCTTTCTTTTCGTAAATCCTTCCAGCTGTCACATGTTCTGATTTTTTTTTAAATCTTCTCATAACGCAGCCTTAAAATAATAAATCCCTGTTTCTAATGTCCATGATGTCTTTGCTATGAATTATATATTATATTACATTCACGAACAAGGGTTTTTAAAAAAAAAAGAATTTAAGAATTACCTGAGTAAAGACATCCTGAAGAACACTTGGCATATCAAAACAAAAGTACGAGCCAAAGGTCAGCATACAGTTGAAAAATAAAACTAAAAAACGGTAATAACCTGCAATGAAAAATGTGAAACAAACATACTGTTTATTTAATAAAATTACTGCTGGGTGATTTGGATTAATGAGTAGTGGCTGGGTTCAGTGGTGAGAGTGCTGGGCTCAGTGGTAAGAGTGCTGGGCTCTCGTGTGGGAGACCTGGGTTCGATCCTCTTTCAGACATGATTTTTTTAAGTGGGAGCACAAACAAAAATCCTAACCCACACAGTTTGTGGTGACGGCACTAGCCATGCCGCCTAAACCCAAACGCCCTAAAAGCCACAAACCTGGCACTTCTGGTAGAGCAGAGTCCAATTTCCAGTAAAAGCCGCTTATCTAGCTTGACCATAATCATGTGTTAATGAGACACGCTAGCTAATGAGATTGACTGTTCTCATGTCCGCGCAAAGTTTAAAAGGTCAGGATATAGATATATTTACTCCCTTTGTGGATTCCGGGGCCCTATTATAGGGAAAACAAGAATAGACCCACTGCCTACCCAAAAGCATGTCGTAAGAGTCAACTAATTGGGAGCTTCCTTCGAGGTCACAATGCATCTGCCTGAGAGGCAAGGAACCAGCAGTCTGCATACAAATGAGTCAAGTCTGTAAAACGGATGCACACACAACACTCGGGTTCTGGAACAGGAATGCAGTCCAGAGGTGGATGAACAACCAGAACTTTCCGCCAGAGTTTACAGCTGGTGAACGTGAAGAAGAAGATATATTACTAAAAGTAGCATTTATGCAGGTTTCTTTGTGAAGCAAAAAGCTTTTTTAAAGCCAAGATGACATCACATTTTCCCCGTAGCCTCTTTAACGGAAGTCATGGTGTCATGTGTCACCTGATACATATTGTTTTTAGACCCCAGGGAATGTATTTAATTTAATGCTTCACTCTGTTTATGTTAATTGATTACTCTCTTTATATATTCCCTCCAAAAATATTTTTAACGAACACAAATAAATTTTTTACAAATTCATTAGAGCAACATGGCAGCCGCTAAGGTCTAGCAGCCGGATACTCGCCTGTGATCAAGGTCTTCTATCTTGTGTCCTTCTATCTTTCTACTTCATTTTATCAGTGCCGATTAATTCATTGTCTGTTTATTACATTTAAATGGGATACAGCCCAAAATCCATCTTCTGTGTTTGATTACACCACTATAATGTTTGTCTAAGGTGGTATCAGCCACTAAAAATTTTAATATCAAATATCGGCTATCCTCCAAATAACGGTCCCAAATTATCGAGGCTAAGAAAATACTCTAACAGGGCCTCAATCACATGTAAATTTTGGACTTCTTTCCGGCGAATATACCGCGGAAAGACTCCTCCAAATAACAGTCCTAAATCATCAAGGGTGTCAACAGCTCCGACACTGAGTGCTAGGTTTAACCTCTCCCCTGGGTCCTAGCTTTAGGCGTGATCGCCGTGGGGGATACTCTCGGCGGTGGCGGTATAGTCCACGGAAGTCTGCAATTCGGGGGTGGCAGTATAGTCCCTAGAAAGCCACAACTGACACGTGACTGAGGCCCTGTTAGGGTATATTTTTGGCTTTGATAATTTTGGACCGTTATTCGGAGGATAGCCGGGTTATGGATGGAACTTACGTGGATCGCTGTTAACACGGCAGCACTAATCGCATTTTGTTTGCTGAATATTTGGTGCAGTTTCCTGGTGGCACAGTCACAAACATTGAGGCCCTGTTTGGGTATTTTCTTAATTATTTCGATAATTTGGGACCGTTATTCGGAGGATAGCCCAAATATCTTCTCCTAGAATTTGAATTGACTTAAGGCTTCATTTAGTATCGTTGGGTTTGATATTTTAATCTCTATCTAGCTGTCGTGGTTTCATAAGTACAAACCCAATATAATATAAAACTTCATTAGCATCCCTAAATTTAGCGTGTGTATGAACTGTGAGTGTTATGATGAGATAAGATAATGAATAATGATAATATTATTACATGAATTTATGTTATGATCAATGATCGTGGTCCTTTCTGCTGTCTCTGACACTACTTACCTTTTTAACTAAAAAGGCAATTATAACTTTTAAAAATATATAATTTCTTCTATTACATTATGCATTTAGGAAATTATTTAATAAATAACTTTCCGTAACATCATTCGATACACATAATAATTCAAGTACTTGGGTAACCACTTACACTGATCAGCTTGCAGCACCGCCATTTTGACTCAATCTAATCACATGATCAAATTGGTCACGTGATAAAAGTCTTTTTAAATGTTTTGCCAGTTTAAGTTTGTACACTGTCTCGTCGGTAGACGACTTCGTCGCCGTTTAGTACAGTATTTGGGTCTGTCTTCTTTGATCGCATAAACACTACACGAGTCCTTTTCAGGGCTCTTGGTGGCAAACAATGCTAAGCTATTTTATATGGCGCATATAACCTAGTCACAATTATAACCTTCTAGAATGCTGGCTAAACGTGACGCCCCCCCCCCACCCCCTTTCCAGCAAAGAACCTAAATACAACTGGGTGTTTTTTTACCAGTAATACATTACATTGTTAGCGACTGACTTTTTACCTCACCAGGACATCACACTGAGCGATAAACACCGGTGACACAAAATGCAACCATTCGGAGAAGGATCACTCATGAAAAGGTCCCAGAAACCCTGTTCAACCTTTAGGTTATATTAGGGCCCCCGGCAACAGCAAGGAAGGGGCTTCAAAATAACGAAACAATCATCCCACATGGGGACGGAATTAGTGTTCAGGTACTTTTGCATTATCCCAGTTCTAACCTTCTTCTTCTGCCTTTCTAGCCCCCCAGTGGAGCATAGGCCCTCAACCAACTCACGCCAAGTCGTTCGATCCTTTGCTTTCAAATGCAGCTCTCCCCATGTCCTCCCCATCTTTCTAACTTCATTCTCCAGCTCCCTTCTACATGTGTGTGTGTGTGTGTTTTGTCTTTCTTTCTCTTCAAAATTCCTATGCCCCTGTGGGTTCCAATACATTTCCCTTACTACGTCCATTGTTCTTCCTACATCATAGAGAGTTCTTACATTCCAGGTGCCAATTCTGGAGGTTTTCCTAGCTGAGAAGAGATATGTCGACGATCCGGACTTCTTTCAGCTTTCTCCACACCGTGTCATACTTCTTCTACTTTAAGAGCCTCCCCTCATCTTGGTTAACTGGGTTTTACTTGCTTCTCTTTTTTGACTTATCCATGGTTGGCTGGTTTTTGTGGCTATGGTTTTTTCAGAATGAGGTACTAACCTCAAGCACAACCCTACCCTTAGGCGCCTCTTACGACATGCCTGGTAGTGTCACTATTCTTTGCTTCCCGTGAGGGCCCTGATGACACACGGGCGCAGTTATAATAACCAGGATGGGTTCAACAGAATATTGTTAAAATTACTATTACTAATTGTGCATTATTCATTTTTTAAAAAAAAAACTGTTCATGTGGGACGGGGGGAGAAAGTCAGACGATAGCGTCCTCAATATTTAAAATCCTACCGCCACATTTAGATAAGCGCATATGTCTGGGTGTCAGAATGGGTAACCCAGCTGTAGGACAACTTATCACAAACAAAAGAAGAAGACAGTCACCATTTCTTGCCATGTTTTGAGAAGAGTGAAACTGGAACATGTTTCGGGTGGCCATAATATCTAGCGCGGAATACGGGACATCCATCTAATATTTTGAGTTTAAAAAACAGTTTAACCCAACTACTCCATTGTGTGTGTGTGTGTGTGTGTGTGTGTGTGTGTGTGTGTGTGTGTGTGTGTGTGTGTGAAAGGGTTAATCTACTCGCTTGGCAGTGGTATTAAAACACGAACTGTTTTTACAAATAAATAAACCAATCAATATGCTCTTTAAATGCACACACAAAGACGTGCTATAATTAAAATTCCCCCCAATAAATTTCACGCATTCAAAATAATTTTGTTTTTTTTTATTTCACTAAAGGCCTAAAGTGTTATAAGGTCTACGGTAAACTGCAAGTGTAGGTCCTATTCTCGAGCTTATTCTTACATTTTTATAAAACGGGTCGATTGGTGTTTGGAGTACCGACGGGAGGGCAGGAGCATGTCTAAAAAAGTAATCAGGACTGTCCCGAGTGCTTTGTTTTTAGACGACCAGAAATGACGTCACCAGACAGTCCAATAGTTCAGAGCAGCGGCTCTCAAACTGTTTTCGTCGCGACACCTCTGGCATACGCTTGTAGTTTGGTTAATATTTACGTAATAGGTAGTCATGTATAAATATTCTTCAGTAAAGTCTATACATGGTTGGAAGGGGAGAGGGGAGGGGGGGGGGTACGTAGCCCTCTTGCAAATTTTCTGGGGGGGGGGGGAAGGGGGTGGAGAGAGAATATGTCTCAGTCCCTCTATCATATGGTGGGAAAGGGGGGGGGGGCTTAAGTTGCCTGTGTATGGGTTCCAGCGCCCTGTTGAACTGAGAAACTAAGCGTCTTAGGCGCGTCCACAAGGTATGTACAGTGCTCTGTGTCAGAACTGATTAAAAGTACACGAGACAGAGGGTTGTGGATAGGCATGACTGTCAACGTCACAAAGTATGAAAGATCATTTGTATCAAAACTTTTTGAAAGTACACGAGACAGAGGGTTGTAGATAGACATGACTACCAACGACACAAAGTATGGAAGATCATTTGTGTCAGAAATGATTGAAAGTACACGAGACAGAAGGTTGTAGAAAAGCCTGACTACCAATGTCACACGACATGGACTTTAAAAAGATGTTCCGATACTGTGGCTAATTCAAAATTGTATGCAATGCTGGTGCGAAGTGTGTGAATTATTATGCAATATTTGTGCATAGTACGCATTTGACGGATATCTGAATCAATTCATCAGTAAAAAAAAAAAAAAAAGAAAGTGCATTCGATAGAGAAAAACTCATTGATTTGGGAATGAGCTGATGTGACATTCAGAGTCCCAGTGGTTAATATACAGAGCTGGTCAACATTTAGAGGTGGCCTTCCTCTGAGAAAATGTGGTGACCGTCGGAT